CGAACAAACTGACTGAGACATGTGCTTGCCTTATTTATAGAGTCTCATTAAAGATCGATGATACGGAATGAGGTTAACTTAACAGTTTGCTACACAAAAGCATAAAGAGATATATTTAAGTATTATAATCTTATTGTTTTCCATGTCATAACATCAACCAAGTAATAATATCAATAATAATTTTACCTGATAAAATACATTCAATTATAATGTTTATTGGAAGAATAGCCAACAAAAAAAAACCACCAAGATTCACAATGAAAGAAGAATCAAAGGTTTACTGTCCTAACAAAGCATAATTATATTCATATCTCTCTCTCTCTCCTCTCTCTCTCTCTTATAAATATATATATATTATTGTAGTAAGAATGATACTGGTGATCTCTAAAGAATATAATGAATAATAATTGTTGTTATATTATATAAATGCATGTTATATTTTATCAAATAGTAAATCTAGCATTTCAGATATGTTGAAAAACAGATTGATAGAAAAAAAGAATGTGCATTACTTGGTGTCATTTTAATTCAGCAGCAGATGCCTTATGACCTGATCTCTCAACTTTCCTTCTACTCCCCTGCTACTGTTCATCAGTTGGTTCTCATGGTATTCCTCATGAGAGTAATTTACACTCTTAAATTGTTAGGAGCACTCTTTCTCTTCCAAGAGTTAGTCACCGTTTTTATCGTTACTTATTCTCCTTCAAAGTAGGTCTTTGGAGTGAAATGTTCCAGCCAATGGCTATTTCTTCAATTTATTCCTTCAGTGTCTTTTTTCATTTTTTTCTTTTTACTATCCTTTAGTTTTTTGCTTGTATTCTTCTACATTACACTTTTTTTCACAAAATTCAAAGTACACCCTGTTTTTCTACAAAAGTAGAACTGATAATGTTAAGACTGAACTGCCCTATGTAATGATATTGGTACAACTGCTTAACCATTTAGTAAACAAAAATGATATTTATAAAAACAAATAAAAATACCCATTAAGTAAATTAATGCAGAAGAACTAAAGAAGCATTTTAAAAATAAAAGCATGAATATGGTAGGAGAAATATAGGTGCATTATTATGTTCCTTAAATTAGAACATTTTTTTTGGTACCACTTTATTGAGATCATATTATAGACTTGGATTTAGTATAGTCTTCAAGCTGCGCCACCATTATCAAATAAATATCGGAATTTTTCATCACCAAATAAACCCTACGCCTTTTATCACTCTCCTATCTCCCTATCGTTCAAACCCCCAGGCCTAAATGCCCATTTATCTACTTTCTGTACCGATAGATTATCCTGTTCTGGTTATTTCTTATGAATAGACTCATATAAAATGTGGTGTTATGACTACTTGCTTTAAGTTAGCATAAATTACAAAGCTCATCTATGATGTATCATGTATCATTAAGTCACTACTTTTATGGCTAAATAATATTCAATTTTGAATCATGCCACATTTTGTTTACTTATTCATCATTTGATAAATATTTAGATCTTTTCCACTTTTTAACTAGTTTGAATAATGCTGCTCTGAATATTCATGTACAAGGCTTCTCTTTTAGTTCTCACACTTTTCAATTCCAGAAATTCCATTAGACTCTTAAAAAATTTCTCTTTTTTGACATTCTCTGTTTGAAATGACAATGTCCTCATGTCTTCCTTTACTTCTTTATCATTCTTTTCTTTAATACTGTAATCATATTTATAATGATTACTTGAAGTTATTTTGTTTCCTGTTAAATCTGACATCGGTTTCTTTCACAGGTAGTTTTTGTTATCTGCTTTTTCTTCTTTTTTTCTGTTGTATGGGTCATACTTTCTTGTTTGTTTGCATATCTCATAATTTTTGTTGAGAACTGGTGTTTTAGATAATATATTGTTACAAATCCAGAGAGTCATTCCTCTTGCTTAAGTATTTATTGTTGTTTCCTTGTTATTTGTATAGTTACTTGCCGGGCAATAATAATGAAGGCTATTCCTCACACTGTGAAGACTCTGATTTGCTCCTCAGAGGGTGCAGGCTGGCTTTTAGAAGGGTTATCTTCCACTCCTTTTAGAAGGATTATCTTCCACTCCTTTTAAAAGGTTATATTCCTATCTCTCCACATCACTCCTACACTGCTGTGGATTGCAAACTAGTTCAATCTCTGTGGAAAGCAATATGGAAATGCCTTAAAGCGATACAAGTAGATCTACCATTTGATCCAGCAATCCCACTACTGGGCATCTACCCAAAAGATCAATAGTCACTTTATGAAAAAGGCACCTGCACTCGAATGTTTATAGCAGCACAATTCACAATTGCAAAGCTGTGGAAACAACCCAAGTGCCCATCAATTCTTGAGTGGATTAATAAAATGTGGTATATGTATACCATGGAGTACTATTCAGCTTTAAGAAACAAGGGTGATATAGCACCTCTTGTATTTTCCTGGATAGAGCTGGAACCCATTCTACTAGGTGAAGTACCTCAAGAATGTAAAAACAAGCACCACATGTACTCACCATCAAATTGGTATTAACGAATCAATACCTAAGTGGACATATAGGAATAACATTTATCGGGTGTCGGGAAGGAGGGAGGGGGGAGGAGGGGATGGGTACATACAAACACAATGAGTGAGATGTGCAACGTTTGGGGGATGGTCACGCATGAAGCTCTGACTCGAGGTGGGAGGGGAGGCAAGGGCAATATATGTAACCTAAACATTTATACCCCCATAATATGCTGAAATAAAAATAAATAAATAAATAAAAGGGTTATCTTCCACTTTCATTTTTCATCATTACACCCAGCTCTTAAGCTCTACTAATTTCCAACTGATTGATCCATTGTTTTTAAACAATACCCTGGGCCATAAATTACTCCCTAGACTGAGACCACTCTAATTAAATTTTGGCCTCCTTTATGGGGTAGTTTTGAGATCAATGTCTGAGTTTTGCTCTGACCCAAAGATGGCTCTTCTTAGTTTTCTTTTTCCCTGGTTTTCTCTTGTAAGCTCACTGGCTTGAAAGTTTGGCCTAGTTTATACCCCTCACAAACCTACCATCCTTTTCTTGATTGCTTTGCACCAAAATATCCTTTGTTTTTGAGAGCATCCTTAGGATGGAATGTCTCCATACTCTTTTTCAAGTAAGGTCAGGGAGGTTTTTTTGTTTTGTTTTGTTTTTGTTTTTGTTTTTTTTTCCTTATGGCCAACTATCCTTCTGGGCAAAATTTCTGAGCCATGGTTTTGGAACTCACTGCAGGGACAATGGGATGCTTTTGAGTGACACCCTAGATTTAAAAGGGATCTTAGCAGAGGCAGTAGCTTCCTCTATTCTAGGCTTCTCTCTCTTGACACAGAACCTCCACCTTACAAATAAACTGGAGTGAGGGCAATTGGGGCCCTAGTATTTTAAGCCTGCTGTGCTACAGGAAGAGCCTCTGCTTTTTGCTTGGGGGCTGGACGGAAGAAGGTAGCCCTAATCTCTTGGCCACACTCACCCAGTATTTAGCCTCCACAATAGGTGTGGGGAGGATAAGAAATGCTAAAGGCATGCCCCTCCCCCAAATATACTATAGTCCCTCTAGTGGGAGCCCTGGAGGTGGGGAAGTGCTGTGGTCCTGGCTGTACTCACCTGGAGAGGTGTTTCTGTCATGCTGAGCTGGTAGGGGAAGGTCATGTTTCAAATGCTACAGACTCTCACTATTCTTGCAGAGTTTTAGCAGATTTTCTTGAATAAACATTTCTTTATGAGCAACATAGCAAGACCTTGTCTCTATACACACACACACAAACACACACACAGAGATTAGCCCCTCATGGTGGCACATACCTGCAGTCCCAGCTACTCGGGAGGCTGAAGCTGGAGGATCTGCTTGAGCCCAGGAGTTTGAGGTTGCAGTGAGCTATGATGAAGCCACTGCATCACTGCATTCTAACTGGGGCAACAGAGTGAGACTGTGCTGGAAAAAAATAATTTCTTCATTTGATGTATGCCCTTCTCAATGGAAAAGAAGCAGAACTCTGTAAAAATATAATCTTAAAGAGATTTATTCTGAGCCAAATTTGAGGACCATGGCCCAGAGCCACGCCCAAGAAGCCTTGAGCAAGTAGACTGGCTGTGGTTGGGTTACAATTTGGTTTTACATTTCAGGGAGACAGGGGTTACAGGTAAAGTCATAAAACAATATGTGGGAGGCATACATGGGTTTGGCTCAAAAAGGTGGGACATCTCAAAGAGGGGCTTACAGATTATAGAAGGGTTTAAAGATTCTTTGACTTGTAATGGTTAAAGACATGAAGCTTTGTCTAAAGGCTTGGAATGTTTTAAGATAAGGAAGTCTGTTAAACAGAGACAAGCCACTGGACATTATATTTATTGCTCCCTTCTCCAAGAAGGGAGAGGGGCATGCTGAGGCAAGTCTGACCTCCTTCCTCCTGGCAGACAATTTAGTTTCAGGATATCCCCTTGGCCAAGAGGGGGTCCATTCAGTCAGCTGGTGGAGGGTGTGGAGCCTTAAGATTTTATTTTAGTTCACACCCTTAAAACTACTTCTAGAGACTTTAAGTGTGTGTGTGTGTGTGTGTGTGTGTGTGTGTGTGTGTTTAAATAATGTTCACCTCAAGTTATGCCTGTTTTTCTGGGGAGTGGATCTGTTGAACTCATTACATTGCCATTCCAATGTAAAATCTAAGAGTATACTTTAAAAATACGACATCAAAGATAGAAATGTAAGAAAAACTAATAAATTTAATTATATAAAAATGTAAAGTAGATCTAAATTTCTAAAGGTAAAGGAAAATAGAAATTTTGCAACAGATAGAAGTTTACTATCTTAAATATACTGAAAATTTTGGCAAATCTCTAGGGCAAAAATAAACACTCAAATAAATACATGAACAAAGAACACAAAAAGGTAATTCATAAAATGCATACAACACATAAACTTACAGAAAACCTTAATCTCACTAGTAATAAAAGAAATGGAAAATTAAAAAAATCTTACGTCCACAAATTAGAAAAGATGTAAATAAAATTATAATACGCATTTAGCAAGTATGCAACGAACTGAAAAAAAAAACTGTGATGAAAGAGTGAATTGACACAAACTTTGGCAAAATGAATAGCTATCATGTTTAACATGTGTATAAATTTTCACGTTGCATTTAATTTAATTAAAACTGTTATCTAGTGTGACATATGGCTGATGGTTGCGTGTGTGATTTTGAGTGTGTTGGTTTTAACTAGTGCTGTTGTTGGTTAACATTTGCAGTTTCCTAACCAGGAATCAGAGGTAGGAATTACAGTTAGCATCTGTAAACCTCTTATCAAAAACTCCCCAGAGATTGAATTAACTTTATTTATTAATACTATCAAGGATCGACTGCATAGAATATAAAGAGAGAAGCTTTGCTAATTGGCATAACTGAAGGTAGCAATGATTATTATTACTGGTAAATGATTATTTCACTAGTGAAATGAGTGGTGTTTAATATAAGGGTTTGGCTAGAAAATGGTACAATGAGGTTTGCCCTTGCAGACTATAGTATGAGAATCTGGTCAGCCCAATAGCCCAGTATTCTTAGAAAGGATGTTCCATGCTTATAATTCCAATCAGTTCTGTGCTGAGAAATTTCCAGAGGATTTTGTTACCTGACTCCAACTCAGACTTTAATTCAATCTTGTCCTTGCAACACTCTTGCCTGTAGTGAATGTTTCATTCCAAGCACTGCTGGAAAACCTATAACAACAGAGTTGCGACTTTATTGAGCTTACAGTTTGAATGACTATTATTTTGTTTTGTTTTGTTAATGTCTGCTCTGTTGTTACATGTGAGGAATTTAGCCTCGAATCTTCTTTTATCATAATTTACTCTCTTATTTTGAGAGTATTGGGAATGAGGCATAGAGCCCTCACCTATGCCTCCTCTAATTGTTTCTGATTATGGATACCTACCAAAGAGAATCTAATAATTAAGAATGAGCAAAATCACAATATTTTTTGACTCAGTAGTTCAAATTCTAGGAATTTGTTCTAAGGAAATAAGGATGTGTGTCAAATTTAACTTTTCTATATTTATCAATGAGTTATTTGTCAGCAGAATACAAGCAATTTAAGTGCTCAACAATAGGGAATTGATTAACTTGTAGACTATTCTAAAATGAAATATTAAGCTGTTTTTAAAAATTAGGGCATAGAAAACTATTTAGTGACAGGAAAATATCAGGACACATTGGACTTGAAGAAAATGACACTGAAACAATATGCAAAAAATAAAAGTATTCTAAAAATATACAATTATGGTTATGTAAATATAGTATCAATTGTTTAGGATAAAATCAAAAGATATATGATTTGGTGAATTCTTTAATTTCTTTGTAACTTCAAATACCAGGGCTTAATAAAGAATGGATTATGAACCATCTACATCAAAATCACTTGGCTTGTTTTTTTTAAAATGCCCTTATCAGAATATCTTGGGGGAAGTATAAATTATCCATTGCTATGTAAATGAATTACCAGGAAACAAAGGGACTTAACAAGCATTAATTACTGAACGCTTTTATCAGTCTGGAGTCTAGGTACTGTTTATGCTTGCTAGGTGTTTCTGGCTAACACTCTCTCATGAAGTTACAATCAAGCCTTTAGCCAGTGATTCAATCACTTTATGGCTTTACCAGGGCTGGAGAACCTGCTCCTTGGTGTAGCTGTTGGTAAGCCTCAAGATACCTCAAAACATCTACTTCACATCTCATTCACAGGATTGCTGGCAGGCCTTGGTTATTTGCCGTTTGGGCCTTTCTGTAGGCCTCCTGAGTGTCTTCACAGCATGGTAACTGGCTCTCTAAGAGAGAGAGATTACAAACAACACCCAAGATGGAAGCCACAGTCTTTGTGTAACCCCATTTTGGAGGTGACATCCATCATTTCAGTGAATCAATACGTCTAGCCAAGATTTAAAAGGAAAGGAATTAAATAAGGGCACAAATAGCAGAAGGCATGGATCACAGTGGTAGTGGGGGGGGGGCAGGCATGCATCTTAAATGCCTCCCAACATGGGCTGGGCCCCCTCAAATCTGAATTTTTAACAATATACTCAAAGGATTCATATATAAGCCATTTACTTTCAAAGTCCTAATAATAGACTAAACAATTTGATAGGTAGAATCTGACTGACTCATTTTAGCCCATAGATTGATTTCCTCTGAATCTGGGCTTCTGTGCAGATAATAGTCAGTCTTTGTTTCTCATCTAAATTCATCTTGTTCTTGGGGCCAAGACCAGAACTCCAGTTTTCTCAAGTTCTAAAAAGACACACTTCTCACTTCACTAAAGTCTCTCTTTTTTACCCTTTCGTGTAGTTCTTGGAACCGTCCTTCTTCGCAAAAAAACTCATGAATTACAAAGCTGAAAAGCAACAACAAAATCCACTTTGGAAATAGACACAAACCACTTGAGATCTGCAATAAACAAACAAACAAAACCCCACGTGATTGTAGTATATAATTTATTTGAGGAAGGTGGCAGAAGACAAACGGCATAAAAGATATCTTTTCTTCTTATGATAATGTATTCCTAAAATGATTGTGTGTAAATTGAGTATCTGTAAATGGCATCTGGTAAGATATGGGCTGAGGTGGCTAGCCATTTAAAGGCAACATTTGGTACAGCTGATCCTCATTCTTTGTAGATCCGTATTTTGTGAATTTGCCCATTTGCGCAAATTTATTTGTAACCCCAAAGTCGATGCTTAAGGCTCTTGAGTAGACACTTGTAGACACACAGAGAGCAATTAAAAATTTGAGTTGCTGAATGCCCACGCTCCCAGCTGAGCTCAAACAAGGTGATGCCCTGCCTTCTTGTTCAGCTCTCACACTGTTAAGAAGTCTCCCTTTATAGCAGTATATCTAGTGCCACGGTTTTCCAATTTTTATGGGGTTTTTTGTTTATTGGTGATTTTGCTGTTTAAAATGGCCTCAAGCATAGTGCTGTCTAGGGTTCCTAAGCACAGAAAAGCTTCAATGTGCCTTACAGAGAACACGCACATGTTAGGTAAGTTTTGTTCAGGCAAGGGTTACAGTGCCACAAACTGTGAGTACAATGTTAATCAATCAACCCTATGTATTTAAAGCAGGTGTCTTTCTTGGTTTAAAAAAAATCTTGTCAGCCAGAGGCTCTGAGGAACCTAACCCTCTGTTTTTCCTAGGAGCAATTCTGTGTTTGCAGTGACTTTATGGAACCTAACTAGTGAGAACAATAAAAATCAACCATAAATGCTTTTGCAAAGTAAAGACCTTTGGAACTATTACTTTCAGGTCTTGTATAAAGAATCCAATAAAATCTGGAAAACGTGTGGATGAGAGAAAAGCTGACTGAGTCCTAATTCCACCTTATTATGCTTAAATTCAGTGGGAGTCTCTTAGTCTTGTTGATAAAGGAATCTTGGCTGGGGCTTCAGGTTTCCAATTTACTTTGACTCTATCTGTCAGTCTGTGTCACAACCTTCATGGCAATTAACTGTGCTTTTGTGTGCTAATTATCATTATCCCACTATGTGGCCATTATTATTCTGATGTCCTTAGTTTGAAGCTCAAATTTCAATCAGTCACCTAAAACAATTGCATAGGAGGGAACTTTGGAAGGCTGGTCTCAAAGTCCTTACCTGAGTTCTATTTTATTGTACTCCATTTCAAATCTCAACACAAGGTTATTCGTGACACAATTTTTTATAAAACTACTTCTTTAGCAACTTGATTAAAGCAAATTTGAAGCTATGCTTAAAAAATGGGGATGGGACATGGGACAAAACAAAATAATAGTCATTCAAACTGTAAGCTCAATAAAGTCGCAACTCTGTTGTTATGGGGCTTTATAACTGAAAATCTATTCAGGCACCTATGTATAAAAAAAATAAAATAAAAACAACTAATTATAAGACTATCTGATGGAGTCAACCCTGCCATTGGATGACCTTATTCAAGTCATTTAGAACAAAGAGGGTAGTGTTTATGAGTTTGTTTCAATCCCACTGGATGCCAGAGGTAAGAAGAAAATCAAATCAAATCAGATGTGGTCAGAAGAGACATATTTCTTTTTCTGTGATGCTCTTCCTCTTTCCACCTCTCGTATTATATCCACATCCACTAAATCCCCAGGATGTTTGGAAAAGAATAAGAGGGGAAGGGAAGGAGGGGACTGAGAGATGCCCTTTCTGGAGTTTGCAGAACTGTTGCATGCTGAGTAAAATCTGATAAAATATTCCATCCATGTCTCCAAAAAGTCAAAAGCATTTTCAGCGCTGATTTCCCTTAAGAGTTATCAGACCTCATTCAATCGGTTTAATGAGTGTAAGAGGTGACCTTGTGTCCACACAGATACTTCCATATTAAAAGACCTGGAGGTAAAACTTCACATAGGTCCCTAAATAGATATTTTGGAGGGTGTGGTGGGGCTTCCTGCAGCTCTCTGCTGAGGTGCTACTCAGTCTAAAAGGGCAGGAGAAATTTTTCACTGCATTATAATGATGATTATTTGCCAATTACATGAGCAGCAGTAATTCATCCATGCACAGATACAGAGGTGGGTTTCAGTACAGTGGTATTGAACTTGATGCTGGCGTCGTTAATTGATTCTTTTGGAACATTTCCCCCAGAGAATCTCAATCACAGGTTCTCTGAGCAAGAAACTGACACCCAGCCTGGGTCCCGGATATGTGGGGACACACATGTGAGAATGTTGTGCTCAAAATAAACCTTTTCCATCTCCTGGCAGGGGACGATTCTATTAGGGGTACTCCTCAATCCTGGGAGCTTCAGTGAGAGCCTCTCTTTGCTGGCAGAGGTGGCAGTTGAGCACTGTTTCTTCCCTGTAGGATGGAAAAAAGGGACTGGATTATTGGTTGCATTTTAAACTAGTGGCCATTATTCTGGGGGCAATTTTGGGGAAGTGCTGATCAAGCTTAGCATTTGATCAGAGGGGACATGTTGGGGAAAAGAAAAAGACGCCTCCCAACTTAATGTTTGACTCACATCCCCTCAGCACAACTGAAATCTTTCTCCAGATACACAATGTCTGTTGACCTAACTCCATGGTGAACTGTGGAGCAGCAAGTCTTGGTCATGTTTAGTAGTTTCCTAGCACCTACTAGAATACAATGCCTAGCATATAGTAGGCACGGAATAAAGGTTTATGGGAAGAATGAAAACTAAACCTTTACTTTTAAAAATTTAGAGATGCAGTTAAAGGACTTTGCTTGAAATCTTCATAAAACTTTGAAAAATAGGTTCAATTTGTAGTCCCAGTGGGAGAATGTGACAACCTACTTTATTCACTTTATTCTTTGAAATTTTGTGTCCAGTCTAAAATACCATCTTTCCCCTGGATGTGTTAAGAGTGTGCATATATACACAGGAATATTTTCTGGAGAACTTCTGGGTAGGCATTTTTAAAATATATTTTTACTGAAAATTATATATATATTTACTTTTAATTGACTAGTTGAAGAAAAATAATCTGAAAAATGTCACAGTACAGGTAGTCAGGGTTCTGGCAGGAGCACAAAAGCCTTCAAATTGAGTGGAAGCCATTCATCTTAAGAAGTTATTTACCATGGAAAACACTCACATCAACCAACATTTCGGTTTTGTAAATTGCCTCTATTAGCGAAACAGATCAGACAAGGAGTGGGGAAAAGGTTTAAAATACCTCTTCAAGTTTAGGTAATCAGGAAATCTGGAAAAACAAACAAAGCAAAACAGCACTCCTTTCTTTGGCATTAATCTCAGCAATCATTGAGAGCCATGGAATTTCTAGGGGTGCAAATTTGACCCCAACAATCAATACTTATCACCACATCTGGAATTGCCCATTTCTTGAATGGGAATTTTTAAAAAAATTAATTAATTAAAAACCAGAAGACAAAACGCAAAGCAAAACTGACGCGGTGTGAACTAAGAAGACTGCTGCATGTATTTGTAGGAGTTGGATGCTTGTTTGCTTACTACAGTAGTTTAAAAATAGTTTTCCAGTTAACATCTTTTCCACATAATGGAGATGTCAGGGTAGGTTTGCATGATTGTGTAAACGGTCAGAAGTTGTTTATGCAGCGCTGAGCCGCTGAGTGATGAGCAGGAAGACCTGGGTTCAGCAAAACCCTTGGGGCTTTTTTCCCCAGAGAGAGAAGCCCAGGTCTCTCCTCTCGGGCTTGCTGGAAACGCATTCCAGATGAGTTCTGCTGGGTTGGCTTTCCTCTGCCTGTCAGAGTCACTTTGCACAGTGCCGGTGAGCGGCTGTGGCATCAGCTGCCAATCTCTACGGCTGCCCTGAGGTTTGGAGTTGGGGTGAAGGGAGCCATGTCTGCGAGGAAACGGTGGATTCATACTGTAGTATGTCCATGGTAACGTCACCGCCTAAAGCACACGCTTCTGAATAACAACGCTTTCGATTTGACCCCCCCACACACACCCCAAATCGATCCTTGTACCTATTTTCTCGCAACCGTTTCGTCTCGCACACACACATTCCAGCTTGAAAGCGCGTTGTTGTAAGCGGTCTCCAGGTCGGCAGCGCTGCCTCTTTGGCCAGTGCCCTGCGCCTAGGGACAGGCAGATAAAACCTTTCCAAAGCCCCCTCTTCAGGGCTTCTTAAGTTCAGTGCCCCCTGCCCCCCCCCCCAGTCCTTGTCCCCTGGCTCAGCACTTCGCAGCCCAGGGACAGAAATACTTGTTTCCCTGGCCAGAGCGCCCGAACCGTCCCCTTAATTCCGCGTCTCTCGGAGGCCAGAGGTTTGGGTACCTGGGCAGGTCGCGCCTCCTTGTGCCCCGACACCCAGGTTGCAAAGGAAGGCGACATCGCCTCAGTATCATCTATCTCCCTGGCCGCGGAAGCAGCATCCTCTGCGGGAACCCTCTACGGCCCCCGCACGGGAGCCAGGGACGGCCTCCACCGGCCCGGGGCTCAGGCGAGGCGCCCTCACCAGTCTCGCCGCGCGTGGGGTCTGGGGGCCGCGTCCTCGCGTCAGGGCCTGGCAGGTGCTGCGCCCCGGCGCGCGCCTCCTCCAGCCGCGCACTGAGCATGCCCGGCCGGGCTGCGCGCGGGCTCCCGCCCCCCCATCCTGCCCCCAGCCTCCCTCCCTCCCCGTCCCACCCCTCCCCGCGGCTGAGGAGCCGGCAGCCTCGACTCCGGCGCGCCGGGTTTTTCGAGCCGCCGCGAGCGCGGGGAGGGGAGGGGAGCGCCGCACCAGACAGAGCACCGGGTTCAACGCCGGGATTGGTCGCAAGTAGGTAGCTTTCGCCACGACGCCGGGACCCTCGGACTGTGCGGGCGCCGCACCGCAGGCTCGAGCCGGCCCAGCGCGCGGGTGCTGAGGTGAGTGAGGCGCTCGCCGTCCGGGTCCGCTTCGGCTCGGGCGCGCGCAGCCCCGGGCACCCCCCTGGCTTGCGGATTTTGGGGAAAGGGCACGGTCCTCTCCGGCTGCCGGGAGGACAGGGGGCTTGTCTCGGCTCTCCCTCCGGCGGGGCTGGCCAGCGGCTGTGGGGCCGCAGCACCCCAAGCCGGGTAGGACGACAGGGGCGCACCGGCGGGCGCTGAGCGCCCTGAACCCGGGAGGAGGCAGGGCCCCGACGACGCCACAGCCACCCCGCGGCGACCCTTCTTCCCCTTTTTAATCAGAAAATAAGTTTGTTGCGCTTGCGAGGCAGCCACAAAACAAGGAACCCAGCGCCCGGAATGCTTCGGGAACCCTTAAAATCGGCTCCTCCGGCCGCTGGTTCAGGCCGTTTCCCCTGTCAGAGCGCCCTGGCCCCGGGCGCGCGGTTCTGATACTGTTCCCCGGCTGTCCCCGGCCGCAGCCCCGGGTAGAGGAGGGCGAAGTTGGGCTGAGGTTGGAAGAGACTTGGGACTGAGGGGACCAGGGCCCGGAGCTGCGATGGAAGGGGGCGCGTGGACGGGGACAGACTCCGGTTTCTGGAGTGTCCGCCGGGAAGCGCGGGCGGAACGGAGCGAGCCGCCTCGGTCAGGTTCCCGCTCCTGTGGAAAGTACCCGCTTTCTGCTGGGGGAGCCTATAGCGGTGGCATTCATTTCCAGCAACTTCTGGGGAGAGGCGGGTAGAGATCCGTGTTCTTCTGAGAGGCGAAGGCAACCGCCTCGTCTCCTCCCCGGACTCCGCCTGCGAGACGCGCGCCGGGCGCCCCGCGGACGCCGGTCCGCCCGCCCGCCCGCTCGCTCTCCTGGAACGGAGGGCTCTAAACCTCCGTGCGTCTCCTCTCTTTGTGCTTCGTGTGTCTGTTTTACTATTTATGAAAGGTGTGGAGGTGAGGGTAGGAGGACGTGGGTTTCTGGAGGGAGGCTGGTGCAGGAGAACATGTTGCAGCGCAGCGGAGCTCCTGCGAGGAGGCGGCTCCTTCGCGCAACTGGAAGACGAGGCGCCTGGTGGCGGCCGGGGGTCTCCAGATTTGGAGCGGAAAGCCTGGCGCAGAGGTTGTGCAGGGCGAATCAACGGGACTGAGCCCCCTGGGGTGCGTGGTCAGCGTGGAGGAGGGTGCGCTGGTCTCTCGAGGTGTGTAGGACATTTGTTTTGTAAGGGGGAGCTCCCGACAGGAATGTTCGTGGAACTTTTTGTAGTTTTCCCAGTGAAATCAACACAGGGGCGGGGACGTGTTTGCCAGAATAACGGTGCCATTTAATTGCATGGGAAGCTCCCGCGGCTCGCTGTGGAGGGAGCTGGGTATTATTATAAGGCATAACGCCACGTAGCTGGTTTGTTTGGAGACCTACATAGAATAATTGGGAACGTACTTGTATTTTTGCATTCGAAGTTTATGGTTTTTGTCCTTTAGGGACAGCGCGAAGACTGCAGATTTTTGTGCACGCAGGTCCACGCAGTAGCGTCTCGAGTCGGGTGGATTAGCAAGTTTGTTCGCTCTCTTCTGCCTCTGTCTCTCCCCGAGTGGGTGAGAAAGACTAGTGTGCATCATGAAGGCAGACACCTTGAGGCGATTTTGGTGGCATTCATGAGAAAACTCACATTTGACCCATAAGTTTATTCTTGCTGTCTCCATCCTGATTTCATTCAAGACTTTGCGGGAATCCTGCAGTGGGTCACTGGAGTGGATACGATTGCTAAGGATCAAAAACAAGTCCCGTGGGAATATTATGTCTGCTACCTCATAAAACGGCTATAGATTTGTTTGTTTAAACTGGCTTCCCTTGTGTTGTCTTGTTGAGGAGAGATCGTCATGATAAGCCTCATTATTTTTCAGTCTGAACCCTGTGAGTTGCTGGGATGGGAAAACTGACCTTTTTAATTAGGGGCTAAGATGCTAAGAGAAGTGAATTGCTGCTTGGAGCTGCATGTCAGAGCCACATGGAAATTTCAACAGAGGTAGATTTCTTTATTTGCAGCTTTTATGACAACACTTTTTCAGTTTCTTTGACCTGGAGGACATTCAAGTCAGTTGGGAGTTAGTTGAGCAACTCTTTTCATAGTCGTTTCATATTGGCAGGTGATTAAGAGTGATTAGTGACCAAACGTTTCAAATGCTATCGGAATTTTTATCATCCACTTATTTTACCTACTTCTTTCTCCTCCTTTTTGTTCAGAAATAAGCTTTATGATTTTCCCCCCTCTAAGCATTAAATCTTTTGGCTGCAGTTTTCCTTATGAAATGTACACAGGGTACCTGTTACTTCAATTTAGGTCTTACAAAATAAAAGTAACCTGACTGTTTAAGCTTCTCAGCAGAAAATTCCCCTTTATGGTTGTGTCTGTTCTACAAAAGTTTGTCTGACAATGGTTTTAACTTGTTGAATTCTTCTCTGTTATGTATGAAGACAGTTACAACGTACATTAGTTTCAATCTCTCTTTTTAGGTCTAAAGGAATTAATCTTTTATAAAACTTGCTTTCATATGATTTTAATCCAATTAATCCATTTCACATGATAGGCAAAGGGATGTCTCTGCACACTGACTTGTTATTTTTGTGATTTTGTTTTCCATAATGAAAATTTTTTTTGACAGTCTCACTCTGTTGCCCCAGCTAGAGTGCCATGGCATCAGCCTAACTCATAGCAACCTCAAACCGCTGGGTTCAAGCCATCGTTCTGTCTCAGCCTCCCGAGTAGCTGGGACTACAGGCATATGCCAATGTGCCTGGCTAATTTTTTCTATATATTTTTAGTTGGCCAATTAAATTCTTTCTTTTTTTTGGTATAGATGGGGTCTCACTTTCGCTGAGGCTGGTTTTGAACTCCTGACCTTGAGCGCTAGGATTTCAGGCATGAGCCACTGCATCCAGCCTGTTTTCCATAATGAAATGTTTTAAGCTTGATTAAGGAATCAAGGAAGCAGGATTTATTGCCTAGATTTATTGGTATTCATTTATATATTATTTACTATCAGGACAAAATCTGACCACACATCAATAAAATTTATTTATACATTAAAGATATATACTCTTATATAATATGTACTTATAAAACACAGAAAAATAAACTAAATGATGAATACAGCAAAAATTATGAAACAGGAGTTCTAATGTTGTTTTTATGTATTCCAGTGGATCATGTTGCACAGCCCCTGGGGTGTAGACCTCACTTTGGTGATGACTGCTGTTGGAGATTTTCTTCTCTCCTTACCTCTACTCTGCTATTTTCTGATTCTGTGGGTGGTTACAAAACTGCTACAATTCTATCTCCTGTAACAGATAGATTAAGCTCAACTGTTTCCCTGTCATGGACTCCTATGTGTAAGGAATGAGGTATAAGAGATGAATGTGCTTAGGAGGCATCATCCTTGATCTCCCAAAGTGGCTATATAAATGATTAATAAAAAGTGAAGGTTTAGTTTAAGGACTAAAGCACCACTGGTCAGGAAGTGAAGAAACTAAGGAGTAAATGACTGAGGAAAGGAAGGACACTTTTCGCATTGTATTATTGTGTGGAGGCTAGAAAAGTCACGGATATTGAAGCAGATTGATCCAAATCTGGCCCTACCATTTATTACATTCACAGTATTAGTCAAGATAGTTCCTTAACTTCCGTGAGCCTTAGTTTCTTTAGCTATAAAATTGGGATAACATCTATTTCAAGACGTCGTGATAGGGATTAAACATGAGAGGATAGGTAAAAAACTTGGCTCTATTAGATTGGATCATTTAACAGCTAGAAAAAATGAATCTAAAAATACATACTGCCTCAGATCTGAAATACATTTATTTCTCATTTGTGTGAAGTCCCAAAATGTATGATCATGGCAGCACTCCTTCAAGGTGTGATTTGGAGACCCTGCTTCATCCATTCCGAGTCTTTGCCATCTTCAGCAGGGTCACCATGCTTATCTGCCTCAAGCCATTGGAAAGAGGACTTGGGAAGATGTTAATTGCCCAGATCGGGAAGTGGACCATGTCACTTTTGCTTGAATCCCACTGGCCAGAACTCAGTTCCATGTGGGTTATCTTGAGATGAGGTAGGCTGGGAAATGTAGTCTAGCTGTGTTAGCCAGGAAGGAGAATAAATGGTTGGGGGAACAGATAGCATTCACAGACATCCTATTACTATGCGTGATAGTTCCACCATGTTTAATAATTGTGACTTGCTTTTCTTTTCCCCACACCCCCTGTTTTTCCTGGCAGAAAAACTGGAACAGATGTAAGAAATAAAATAATAGTAGAAGCAGCGAATACATCTATAGTGGTTACAATTTTTGAGATACTTTTCTGAGCGCTTCACCCTCCTAGATTGGTATTATTCATATCTCTATTGTACACAGGCAAAGAAAAATTAAGTCATTTGTTCAACATAGCTAGTGAATGGCAGACTTGGGATCTGAACCAGGTTTTCTGGTTCCAGAATTGATTTTTTTTTTAACAGCTGCTCTGTACTACTTTTTTTGTTCTTGCTCCAATATTTTTCTTATTTAAGCCATTGGACCACATTTTTGTTTGTCTATATTAAAAAAGTAAGGGAAATTTAAAAATCCTAAAGAAGAAAAAAGACCACGTCTAATCTTACACGTACTGGATTAGAGATGATGTAGATTTATCTTGA